ATTCCGAGAAAAATAAACAATTTTAGCTGAATACATATTGCTAATGGATTCAACCATATTTTGCCCCCCCCCCCTTTATTTATTTTGTTCCTTTGTCATAAATATGATATTTGCAGAGTAAAATGTTATATAAAATTATGTTTAGTCGTGACCAGACTGCAGTTAATGTTCACAATACCTACTGAAATGAAATCGCATGATATTGAGGTATAAACTTTTATTTTTTTGTAATATGTTTATGTTTTTCTGGCGAGTAAAGCAGTGCTAGGTATTATCCTTGTAGAGATTTCCTTATAAACACAAGAGGACCTTTCAGAATTTATAAGTAGCGGCCTAATCTGGCGCCTGTGGGATCTGCTGAGACCAAACCCAGGGCCAAGCAGCCTCCTGTACAAGAGCAGCAAAGACTTTATGATTCGGTCTAAAAGGAAATAGGTGATTTAACCCCATGTGCCCCAAAGTGCTGGGGCAATGCCCAAAACAGCTGATCACTGCTAGCAGAGCCAGTCCCTGTGAAAGTCATTCAACATGGAACTGCAAGGAGAAAACTTGGTGGCTCAATTCATAAAGTTAGGACACCAGGATAAGGATCCTTATTTACAAAAAAGGGACAAATATTTGCAGCTGAGATCTGAAACTTTAAGTCAGGTGGCTAAATAAAGAGAATATTCCTTGTGTTTATGTTTTGTGAATTGAGTCTATACGGTATATAAATTAGATTCATTCTCATTATAAGAGGTAAAGATATTGTGAAATAGAGTTTTAGAGCTGAAAGAAAGGCTTAGCCCCTACTGGTTTACATGGTTAAAAAGGGGAATTAAGTAGCTATCTTGGGCTTGTTCCTTGCTGTGCTGAGACAAGGAGAGAGCTCTATTCTCGACGATGTGCTCCCACAATCTCTTATTTTGCAAGTAGATGACAGGTGAACAAATCATAAATGTTGGGACTCCCCAGCCGATGCCTCTGTGTAGTAACGTAATCAGCTCTAGTATACCATCTGTTATCTAGCAGGAGCTCAGAGCCAATACCAGCTCCCAGCCCAGCTAGTGTGACTAAAGCCCAACAAAGCGACCTTGCAGAAGGCACAAGGCTGAGCCTACAAATTGCTGGGAACCTGATGCAGGAGCCACAAGACAAGCTAATCCTGACTGTCTCATTTGTAACAGATAAGCTTCATGGGTGGGATGGGCCAGGTGAGGAAAGAGTTAAGGGGAATCAGTGGGTAGAGAGGAGGGGAACGGTGTGATTGATCTGTCATATGTTTCCCAAGTCTCATACGGTTATTAAGACTTAATATATAGCAGAGCATACAATAAACCAGGAATTAAAACATGGTTGTAGCTTCGGGCATCCTGCACATTGTCTGCTGTGGTGTTATGTCTTCATAGATCAGTGACTGACACTGGGTAATTAATCATTTTACTCACATGGAAATGTGGCCTGATCCATTCATTCTGTGCACTGTGTATAACAAGCCGGCACCTCTCACTAATATCCAGGAGGCTGCGAGGGAGACAATGATGTATATATAGCAAACACAGGTGCTGATGGGATGTGGAGCAAGGACCTAATGCTTTGTGTTCCTGCTAACTGAATTGTTTATGCTTTGTGTGTCTGTTCCTCTACTCATAGGCATTGATGTGCTGCTAATACATGAGGCACTTTGCTTTCTGACAGTAAGATCACATCTACTGCTACCCGGGTCTCTGGAGATTACCTGCACACAGCTTAGATTTACCAGGGAAATAACCCCTCATTCATACATTACATCCCCAACAAGGTTTGTTCTATGGGCTGCGGAGTCAGCTCCCTATTACCAATCTTTACCAAGTTTGTTAGTGTGCTTTAGGAATAAGGAGCCCGAGAAAAGAGCGATAAATGCCAAAATCATGTATACAGCTTTAAAGAAAAAAAAAAATAAACTAGAAAGACCGTAAAAAATTAGGCACATATAAATCATGTGATACAACCCTAAAAGCCTTTGAAATATATGAGCATCCTAAAAAAAAGTTGGAACCTGAATATCCGTTTAGATGTGGAGGATGAGGGAAGTTTCACAGATGTTATACTATTGTATTTGTAGTGCAGACTACATAGTCATAGTGTTAATAAATGGCACTGTCCTGTCATGGAATAACTAAAGCCATTGCCCATTATCTACTTTATTTTCGGGATGTACCAAGAGACTGGAGGGTTCAGTGGATACAGTAGCCCTTGTAATTTAATACATCATGCTACATTATGTGAATTATGAATACAAATATAATATCAAAAGAATAATAATTATTAAACAACTAAACATACAACGCAGAGTAAAATGAATTGAATTGATGAAAGGGGCTAATTGTTAGTTGTTCCTATAATAAAATATTTAGAAGAATGTACTAGTACTACTAATAAATACTCTGTTTCAGTGCACCTGTGTTAATTGTAGAGTTCCTTAACAACTTTATAATTGTTTACCAAGTGGCCTTCCAACAAAACAAGAATACTAAAAATGCTATGCTTGGTGTAGATTCTTCATAATGACACAAGCCAAGCACCTCCCATATCAGTGGCTGTCTGCATTCTAAACACTGGTTAGTTGTCAGTGCTCATCAGTACTTGGGGCATCCTGCCACTGAGTCAGTGAGATCTTGGTGTCCTTTCTCTATCCCTATTCAAGAACATTATCTGGCATAGGAAGCTTTAACGTCTCCTGCAAATGATGGAGAACAGTTTGGGTTTTATAGCTGCATTTGGGGGGAGGGGGTCCGTCTGCTTGAAATCTGTCTACAGTCGTGTTTTTTTTTTTTCAAAGTAGTGTTACTGAAAACCTTAAAACATCCGCATTCTTTTTTACAACAGTATCCAATTACTCCAAGGCAGGACAAGACCAGGAAAAAACAGCAAACATCCCAGGAAGGTTTGGGGTTAATTGCCAAAGCTTTCTCTTAACACATTTCTTTCCTTCCAGTGACATAATCTACACATCTCTTCCACCCCCTTCCCATTCCCCTTCCCCTTTCTTGCTGTAGGTGTCCCACAAAACGTGCAGCACAGACCC